TTTCGGGCCCATAATTGAAAGTTGATTAAAAATATTAGGGGGCCCTAGGGATTGTATGAGCTTTAATAGAGCCAAGACTACAGTAGCAATTACTTAACCAAAAGGACCAGAGCTTGGGGGTTTAGGGCTCACGGCTTAAGGATTTAGGGCTTTAGGCTTTTAGGGATCAAGCTTACGGCTGTAATTAATGCTCTTAAGGGCTCAGGGCTACAGTCTGAGTACAGTAGTCTCAGTCACACCCGCATGCGCCGAAACCCCGTCTAATATAAAAACTAAACCCCCGGATTTGAGTTTTTATATTATGCGGGGGTTTAATAATAGGGGAAGGGATTAGTTCAATTCCTACTCCTACTCCGACTTCTATTGTTACTATGACCGGGACGGGTACTGCTTCGAAGTGGTCAAAAGGCGGCTGCCTCCATGAGGGGTGTCTCGCCGACCAGGTCAGAACGACTGGGATCGACATGCGCCTTCGTGAGGAGATCCTGAGCATCTAGCGCCAGTCGCAAAACTCAGAACGGTCCCACGTCACAGGACGGGCCTCGATCAAAACCTGCGCGCGCTTCTCGTCCTCTGATCAGTGCTACACTTTGCAACTCTCAAGACTACAGTATCAGACAAGACTTCGCAGGAGGTCCAGCGAAACCCGGGTTTAGAAGATCTCGTCACGATGGTTTGTAGAACACTAAAGCTGCGGGCTTCTTGCAAATCCCACTCGCGGCTCCAGCAAGAAGTTCCGGACTGCCGACATCAGCGGTGTCTCACCTCAATTTGGATGGAGATGCAAGTACCCACGTCGAGGCTATTCGATGCGAAGAAGGTGACACTGAAAAGTTTAAGCACCCTCAGCTCGTGCGTAGGCCCCGACAACAGCATACCCCAAGAAGCGCGGCCGCTTCAGATTGCGCTCTTCCACAACTAGTGCAGTTGGAATGGTAAGCAACTGCGAGTCTCTCAAACCCCCGTGTCCCACAGCATCTCAAAGCCCCAGGAATCGAAGCCTATAGAGGGCCTAGAATTCGAAGGGAGCCCGGAGTGCTACAGTGAAGCCTCTCTGCTACGTTCTCGCCCCTTTCGGTGTCCCTCCCCGCACTCCCGAGGCGGCGCAAGGGCTGGATCCGAGGTACCGAGTGAGTTCTGGCGATTCTTTGGGGCACCGTTCTGAAGGAGGAAGGTCAACATCTCCTGGCCAGGAGCTGGAATGGTGCTCATGCCCTCCAACTTTCGAAAATCCCTTAAACTCACTCGCCTGGTCCGTGGCTTCTGGTGTCGCTTGGAGCGCGGCCAACCAATGAAGTGGCCTCAACCGCGAGAGCCGAACCCCAGGGGCTAGGCAAAGCCCCTGGGAATGATGCCAAGCTTTTGCTGTTCGGGACCCGGGCGTGTTTCCATCCTCGTCGGCCACATCCTGCCATCCCGCGTCGCAGGCTACAGCTGCACATCTCAAAGATCTGAGCACTGTCGCCAGCCTCCAGTGAAATCTGCGAGGCTGCTATCAATTTCTTCGCCTTCCCGGCAGCTCCAGGACTGCGCACGTGACAGCTCAGCGCAGCCGCAGCCCGGCCTGTGCCAGGCGGCCGTTCAGGACATGGTGCTTCAGCTCGAGGATAGTGCTGCCACCCGCCATGGACCTGCCAAGCTTCGGGCTCGACCTTTTCCGACACTGTCGGGTTGTAGACAGCTTGATTGTGCATGGCTTGCCCTTATGGGTCGAATCACAGGTTACGGAAGGCCTGCAGCCCAACGCGAAACGCCCCAGATCGTGGCTGTACAGTCACCGTCTTCGATGCGCTGCAATGGGTCAAATGCAATTTTCGGAGTCCCGTTGTGTTACCACAGAACCACCGGTTATGGTTGTTTCTTATGGTTGACAATCACCCATGTTCAACAGCCCTGAAAACCGTCTTTCTCCATGCCTCCTGGACAGGCGGGCTTGTGCCGAAAACGGTCGGCCGGAACAGGCAGCTGCACGTGTGGTTCCATGCAGAACAGGGCAGAGAAGTCGGGACGATGATGATGGTGGTGCTGGTGCCGGCCCTGGCGATGGTGCTGCGCTCATGGTGATGACGGTGAGGATGAGGCTGTTGATGGCGAAGGTGGTCAAAGCGAGGAGAAGGAAGATCGTGCTGATCATCCTTGCTGGGCTGCTGATGACAAACGATGGCGATGAAGATAACTCACGTAACTCACAACAGTAACAACAAGGGGACATAACAATGGCAACAGCCATTGTGGCGATCGGGCGACAGCGATGCTGGCGATGGCATGGTCGAGAATGAAGACGGCCGCTCCCGTTAACGGTCTGACAGAATCCACAGAAAATGCATTCAGAAAAAAGTTGCTGAATCCTTCAGCAATACTCTCCGGCCAAGGAATGACAGAACGTGATAGAACGGTGCGTCCACATGCCAGTAAAAAGCAATCAGGTACCTTTCACATGTTGGGAGAGCAGGGAGCGCAGGGCCTCGTCAGAAATCCAGGGAGACCCTTCATCTTGCCGCGTCCTCCATGGTGATGCTCTTGGGATTCAGCGAAAACGTCTTGGTGAGCTGGTGTGCTGGATCCGGAGAGTTGTCCTTCAGGCAGAAGCAAACATAAAAGCTCATGGTTCTGTCGTGATCGTAATGGCTTTGCTGCTGCTGCTACAATTGATACTACTAGTATTGCGAGAAGTACTCGTATTACAAATATTTCGAGTTTGACTAGTTGTACTAGCAGTATTACGAGTGTTGCTAGTTTTGCTGGTCTTGCTGGTCCACTGGTCTTACTCGAAATACCAGTCTTACTATGTCTTACTATGATTAATATTTATTGGCATTACTGGTATTGCCAGTGTTGTTCGTACTACTGCTACTACTAATCCTACTCCTACTCCTACT